ATATCAGAATGTGCCACCTTGAGAAACTGAACAATATCACAGAAGAAATGTGGAATCTCAGCGCCTGTGGAGAAGGTCAGCCTCATCATCAGGAGAATGTGAACCAGGGCTACCCAGAAAATGACGAACCAAGACATTAGAACCAACAGGACGTAGAGGCGGGGGTTCATGATGACCGTGTAGTGCAGGGGGTAGCATATGGCCACGTACCGGTCATAGGCCATCACCGTCAGTAGAATATTATCTAGTCCACCAAACACTATGAAAAAATACATCTGTGTGAGGCACCCTATGTAAGAGATGCCTTTGCTCTGGACCTGGATGTTCACCAGCATCTTTGGGACCGTGGTGGAGATTAAACAGATGTCAACAAAGGACAGGTTGCAGAGGAAGAAGTACATGGGGGTGTGGAGGTGTGAGTCTGAGATGATGGCCAGGATGATGAGCAGGTTTCCAAGCACTGTGACCAGGTACATGGACAGGAATAGTCCAAAGAGAAGAGGCTGCATTTCAGGATCTTCTGAGAGGCCAAGGAGGAAGAATTCAGATAGTTCTGTGTGGTTTTCTGCTTCCATGTAGCTGCGGTGTCTGCTTGGGAAATGGGCCAAAGTAACATTCAATGAACAGGCAACTGGTACCTCAGCTAGTCGTCACTTTACAGTGTCACCCTTGGATGAATGTTCTTCACCCTCTATTGAGTCCTTCTATTCATGGTGATTTGATCAGTTCTATTGTACCCTATTTTCATTTTAAATGTGTATAATCATTCAGACGTTCTTGAATTTAATGGAAATCTCTCTCTTTGTATCATCTACAAACTAATTTTAATCATCCTGTTTGAATCTATGGACATAAACCAATATTTTCTTTCATAAGACCTTTCCACAATGATGGAAGACATTTCATGTCTTTTCCTATATAATTCCTATACTTTCTGTGTTCTAATAGCTCTACAGTAGCAATAAACACATGGATTTTAAAGTAAAACCACCTTTATTGTGTGACCTCTTGCTTCCTAGGGATGTGAAAGTTAACTCCGAGGGCCTTATTTTTTTCTTTCTAAAAATGTGATTATTAGGTTAACTTCCATGAGATTCAGCAATGCCTTTGTGCACGATTGGAGTCTCAGCTAATGAAAGCTGTCATTATTACTGTTATAAAACTTCACATTTTACGTTAACAGTTTTGGATATATAACTCCCCAAAGCACAGTCTAGAGCTACGATTTAGAAAATGGGTTCTTGCGTCAGACTTCCCAGAATAGAATTTTGATCCACCCACAATGGAATACTACTCAGCTATAAAAACGAATGAAATACTGCCATTTGCAACAACATG